ATAAATTTCCAGTTTGAAAAAACTCAATACCCAGCATGATGGGTAAAAAGAGACTCAAACTGAGACACATCACTGTGAAATTTCAGAACACTGGGGTAAAGCAAGGACTGTACATGCTTTCATTGAGAAAAAATGGGGCACAGACAAGAATCAAGAATCAGAATGGCCACGTGTGGTGGCTCACACCTGTAATCCTAGCACTCTGGGAGGTCGAGGCAGGAGTATCACTTGCGGCCAGGAGTTTGAGACCAGCCTGAGCAAGAGCGAGACTCTGTCTCTCTAAAAAATAGAAAAATTAGCTGGGTGTTGTGGTGCATGCCTGTAGTACCAGCTACTTGGGAGGCTGAGGCAGGAGGGTCACTTGAGCCTAGGAGTTGGGTTCAAGGCTGCAGTGAGCTATGATGACACCACTGTGCTCCAGCCTGGGTGACAGAGCAAGACCCTGTCTCAAAAAAACCCAAAAAACCAAAAACAAACAAACAAACAAACAAATCAGAATGGCTTCAGATACAAGGAAAGTAATTCCTAACCTACAATTTTAAACAGAAACCATCAAACCAAGTATGAAGAAGATATAAAGGAGGCATTTAAAAACATGTGAAATCTCAAAAACTTTATTTTCTATAGACTTATTCTAAGAAAGCTACTGGAAGATGTGTTTCATCAAAAGAGGAAGTAAACCAAGAAAAGGCAAATAAACAGGAGACCCAGCACAGGAGAGAGATGAAAGGAATGAATCCTAGGGTTATGATGACATGAGATCCCATTGTAACAGCTATGTTCCAAAAGTTCAAGAAAAAACAATCGAGACTGGAACAGGTCAAAAGACTCCAGAAGAGATTTCATGTAAAGGAAACTGATACAACATTTTGAAGGGCCTGGTTTTGTTAGAATTTGAGATTGAATTACAGTTAAGAACACAGAAAAAAATAGGTATTAACTCTGGTTATTTCTGTTGTTTTTTCCAACAGCTTTATTGAGATATAATTCACATACCATAAAATTCACCCACTTACTATGTACAATTCAATAAGTTTTTACTATATTCAAAGAGTTGTAGAACCATCGTCAGCATCTAATTTTAGAATATTTTCCTCAACCCTAAAAAGACTCCATACCCATTAGCAAACACTCCTTATTGCCCCCATCTTATCCCCAGGTCTAAGCAACTACTACCAATCTATTTCCTGTCTGTATACATTTGCCACGAGATATGTGGATTTTTGTGACTGGCTTCTTTCACTGATTTCACGGATCACTCATTTTGTAACATGTATTAGTACTTAATTTCTTTTTATTGTAAAATATATAGATACACCATATTTTACTTATTTATTCAGCTGATGGACATTTGAGTTGATTCCACTTTCTACTAGCTATTATGAATAATGTTGCTATGATAATTCATGCATAAATTTTTGTGTATTAACTACAGTCATTTTATGGGGAAAAAAATCAAACTTTACGGCTCAGCTTTGAAGTCATAATAATGCAAATACTGAATACTGATTTAAGCAAATTCCAAGACAGCTCTATCAGGACAATGAGAATATAGGAAGTATATGCAGATGATGGCAGTGAGTGGGGGAGATGTAGAGGAATATGGAAAAATATTGAGATGGAAAACCTGAGATGGAAAAACCCAGAAGTCCACATATGAGCATGGTACTTGGAGAGGTAATTATCAAAAGAATCCACTAAAAGAAGTAAAAGAAATTGCCTCTGTAAAAAGAGAACTTGGGGCCATGGCAGACAAAGAAGGGTGGGGACTGGCTTTTTCTTAGAACTGTAGAATTAGTAGATGCCTTTATAATCCTGATAAAAATCAAAGTTTGAAAGAATGATGCCATCAATGTTGTCATAAGAGTTTACAGCACTATGAAAAAGAAAGCTAAACCACTGTGAGAACTCTTCAGCATCTCTATGCAAAGACCTTGAGCATAGCCCTAGGGAAGAACACATGTTGTATCATAATTTCTTTGTCTTCTTGGAGACACTGACTTGGCTTGCCAGGTGTCAAGTTTGAAGTAGTATATTGGGAAAATGTTTCTAAGCAACTAACACAAATGAAATGAAAAATAAGGACATCAGAGTTAAAGAAAATTCACTCAGAGAAAATTTAGACATTTATTAAGGTTTTTGTTTTATTTAAATGGAGAGAATAAATTTTCTTTTTTAGGAATACAATTATATGATATAAATAAACTGGAGAGGTTCCCAGTGGGAGCAAGCTGAATGCTTTTACTTTGTATAATATTTATAAGTTGATTCACAAAGGCTTTTACAACTGACATCAGCAGAAAAATTCTTCTAGGTTCAAATCTCTACCAGGTATTTAATTCTTATTTCTGAGGCATAATGTATTTTATATTTTAAGAAAGATTTTAAGGTGTCTTATTAACCTTTAAATAGTGTTTCAAAGAGACTATAAGCCAACAAATAGTTTAATGTGAAAAGTTTTTATAACAAGTGTTACATTACAGTTCTGGTAGCTGGGTTTATTTGTTCTACATACACATTGATAGCAAATTAGCCAAAATAGCTAAAAACCCATACAGAATTCAAAATTTCAATTCCTCAACCCCCAAACATTTTTTCTTTCCTGATTTTATGGTCTGGAGTATTAGAAAAAGTAGTAGTTTTCCTACATGAGTTCTTGAATCTAAACATTATGCAAAATATATTTAAATGTTAGCTCCATCTTTACCTGGCTTTATCTGTATCACAAGGTCTAACTTTGTTGGAGTTATATTTTGATTTCCTCTTGTTCATATGGAGACAAAGGGAGAATGGAAGTTGAAATCTAAAGTAACCCACCCATCCTAAACTAGCCATTAGTTTCAACTCCCACAAGCAGATACTAAGTAGAGCTGTTCATAGGGGGAAAAAGGTTTTCTCTTTTCAAGTTTTGGCTTATCTTCTTCACTGGGAAATGCCAAATGAGAAAATAGCCACAATTATGACGAATCAGTAGTTGACTATAGATGAAAAATTTTAACTTTGCTTCTTATAAAGTCAGGTTTGTGAAAATTAAAACTTGCTAGTCCTAATATCACCTCGATACTTTTGAGGGAGGAGGTTGGACTAAAATACAACTTCTCTTATGAAGGTTCCTGTTGGGATTTAGTTAAGTGGAAGTGCAAATAGGAAAGCAAACTGACATTCATTCATTTACTGATTCTTGTTGTTTTAAGAACAGAAAATTTGTCCTGGTTTCTGTGACCCCAATTCCCTTTCCTACTTCTGAAGTAAAGCATTCTTGCATGCATGCTGATGTCCTCAAATATTAGGCTTGAGGCTTTGTGGCCAATGGGAGGTTAGATTTTGATGAAAAGGGAACAGATGTAGATTTGGGTTAGTTACTTCAGGATCCTAGGCTGGAAAAGCCCCTTAACACATTACTCTCATCATAGTAACAGCCAATTCCATCTGCATAGTAATCCCTGTTTTATTCTTCTAGTCTGAGCCAAATTATATTGTGACTCACTCGTCTACACTCTAAATCATTACTCCTTTTGCTGAAAAAAGAGGCAGTCAACTACTGTGGCAACAAGGTAGTTAGTAACTGGCAAACAGTCCTGGTATGTTGGCATTTAAACTACTGAAGAACATTTAGTTTTCACTTCAAGGTATCTTACACTTGATGTCTCACCATCAGTATTAGTACCTCACATTGATATTTGTAGAAGAATGAGGAATAGGACCCCAACAGTCTTGACTAAAAAGTGGAAGGTTGGTATTTTTCTTTCATCATTTTAAACACATATCGTACTCTAATTCAGATTGCTCAATCACCCTAAGTTCTTGGTGGGGGTGGGGAAAGTACCAATCCTCTTTTTTTCTATGTCTTCTGACACAGAAGATGTCCTTCACAGTGCATCCTCTTCCCCCTTTCTCTCTGCCCTGCTTCATTAAATTGTGACATTAGTTTCAGTAGAGATTTTCTCTTCAGTTGCAAGTCCTGATGGCCCTACATTTTAGAACTGTTGCTGAAGGACTGGTTTGCATTTGCTTCTGTCAGGATCCTAGGTTTCACCAGTCCTGGATGAATTTTACATTAACTTATCGATTTGGAGATTAGTACACCTACACAGCTCATATAAATGTGGACTACATAACTCATGGATGGCATATATTGGCCCATGAATTTCTCACAAGAGGACATCTAGAACCCTGCCCAGAGAGAAACTTTGTCACTTTTTGAGGACAGTGAAAACCTTTTTCTAATTCCCCTTTCCCTTTCATTGAGGGAGTTGCCCTTCCAGGGTCTCTCCTTTATTCAGGGATCAGTTACATTTCCCCATCTCAGGTTGGCCCAAGGCTATCTCCCCTGTCCTCCTGAGCATTAAAACCATAATCTCAAGAGCTTGTACCTACCTAAACTCCTTCAGGGTTGCTACGGCTTTGCCTTATGAGCTTACTGCTCTGCCTTCATGTTGCCTGAACCCCAGAAGGTTTATATTTCAAAGGAAAACTCAAGAGGAAAACGGAATGAAACTCTAAGCTGGTACCTAAGCACTCTAAAAGATTCAACATTTTTAAGATCAAGAGGCTCTTGTAGACCAGATAAAGTTGTTCTCAGTTCCTCTAAAATGCTGCCACACTTATCATAGATACGTGCTAACAGAGGGAGGCATTTAAATCCAAATAGCCTAGCTACTTGTGGTGCAGAGCATTTAAAGATAATCTCCACATAAATCTCCTCTGAAATCTATTCTTATACAAACGACATTCAAATTTTGCTATAAAAGTCATAAAGAAAAAAATTGTAAATAAGCTAAGAAAAAAGTTTCTGAATGTTTGAGTAAAAGAATATCTTTCTATGGCAATGCATGACTTTTGTTCTTAAAAACAAAATAAAATTCCTCTCCACAAAGACTTATTTTAAACCCTAATTCCATGACCAACTCTAACATAAGCAAGAAAAAGAGGTGCTGTTTTACAAGTGAAATATTGGCAAGATACCAACTTGTACCACCCAACTGAGATAAAACTCTGACCTGCAGGTTATTCAGAGGTTCCATCTTCATGACTGGGCCCAGAGTGTTGAGAGGCAGGGAGACATCAATGCTCTGGTTTGGCATCAGTGGTGTATGGATGGCCAGAGGAGTGCTGGGGATGACACCAAAGCTAGAAGACAGGATAAATAAATCACAGAGGTTAATCAAGAGGCAGGATTTAGCCACATTGTTGGGTCTGAATGGATTTTTACTCCATTTGAAGAAAACAAAATTTTTAATGCAATTAAATTGAAGGAATAGCAGGAATCAAGGTGCTCAATTCCAACTTGCCATAATATTGGTTATATCATAATCTCTGTTGTCCATTAAATGGATTTGAGGAAGGAGAAAACTTTCCTAAGTATGGAATTGCTTTGCTAGTGTTATAATTCTAAAAGTTTATTCTCTTTATCATGCTACTTGAGAGACAGGTTTGATGAGAATCATTTTTTAAATAAATCTTTCCTTAATCTTTGGTAGAAAGGAGATTTAAGAATTTCCACTCTATAAAGAGAAAAGTACAATAAATTGTTATTATTTCCCTAGCTTAATAAACCTGCCTGATCAAGTCCCAAGGATTATTTACTGGTAACTCACATTTTCTTTCTTTCTTTTTTTTTTTTTTTTTTTGTTCACTTACGTAGGATGCAATTAATCACCAGGAAAGAGCTAGTCTAAATAAAGCAGAACCGACTGGTTATGCATTCCAAAAAACTAGGATAAGTTGTAGACCCAAACATGGCCACTTTCTAAGCCTGCAGCAGGCAGTGAGTACCCACCAGTTTGACTTCTCAAAGGAAGCCTGTTTAATAATAATATAAGGGTGGTAAAGAGATTAAAAAAAAAAAAAAACTCAGCCTGTGTCTGAAGTAATATAAAAAACAACAACATAACCAAGAGGGCAGATGGTATGAGAAACACCAAGAATAAAACTTTGTAAGCATTAAGCAGAAAAAGTGGACCTAGTATAACAAACAAAATGATACAAATTTATATTTATGTTCTAAAAAGCCTCAAGAAGGAAGATGGGACTATGATATTTATAAAATAGGTAAAGAGTTTACATAGATAGTATCTTTCAAGAGTCAGATGGCTAAAGAAATATTTTCCTTTTCCTAGATAAACTACACCTTACAGTACCAAAATGTAATAATGAAATGATCCTAAGAATTCACATCACTCATTTAGGGATAAAACTCATAGCTCAAAAAAACATTTTGCTTTTTTTTTTAAGACAAAGTCTCACTCTGTCACTCAGGCTAGAATGCAGTGGCATCATCATAGCTCACAGCAAACTCAAACTCCTGGGCTCAAGTAATCCTCCCACCTCAGCCTGCTGAGTAGCTGGGACTATAGGTACACACCATCACGCCTCGCTAATTTTTTCTATTTTTGGTAGAGACAAGGTCTCAATCTTGCTCGGGATGGATCAAACTCCTGAGCTCAAGCAATCCTCCCACCTCAGCCTTCCACAGTGCTAGGATTACAGGCGTGAGCCACTGCGCTTGGCCCATTTTGCTCTTTTGATCTTGTTCTCACAGTCAGCCAAACTGCCTTTAAGTCAATATTGGGATAGAAACATGGCAGCAGTATAGTCCCAAACCTTGCAACTGCTCTTCTTGGAAACAATACAGAGGAAACAAAGAAGGGGGAAATTGCCATAAACTTACAATTTCACCTTCTGCAAAACTACAGGTCAGAGAAAACCCACAGAACTGGTAAGCAATGCTCTGGTGGTGCAGTATGGAGGCACAAGAGTCCAGAGGAAACTAGCAGCAGTAGGTCTCAGAGACTGACAGTAAATATCCATTCTTAGAAGAGACCTCCATTCTGATTGGGGTAGGACTAAGATCAAATAGGGAGCGGCACATGGACAAGGTAAAAAAAAAAAAAAAAGAAAAAAAGAAAAAGTCCCCACAGGGGCCCTGGAAGTGAGAGAGCTCAAAAAGCACCACCTTCTAAAGACAAAATAAACTCTTTAGAAGACAGGGCTTAGAGGAAGAGACCAATTAAGGAATATGAAGTGCACAGGACTGGAATAGAAAGCCCTCTTGAGTAAAGTTAGGTTCTGAGAGGCAAAGGGGTTTGTGACTACAACATGGTAAAAAAGGAAAAGATCTTGAGTAGCACAACCTAAAAATCTACCCTGACCTAGCTGCTTCTTCTATGGCACTCTCCTGCTAACAGCTAGTCCTACAAATTCCAACTTATTCAAATATGAGTACCATAGTGGCATAAACACAGCAACTATTCAAGGCACTATTACCAAAAAGTGAAAAGAAAGCAGTACAACTTCCTTAATGACAAACAAAAATACTTGAAAATAACTTTCAATTAAAATAAATGAAATTATGAAACATTTGTACATGAGGGAAAACAAAACAAAAACCTACTGAAACAACTGTAGCAACCAAGGAAGAACACATAATAGTAAAGAAAGTGCCCGAGGAAGAGATGACCAGATAATGTGAGGTGAAGGTGGGATAACAGGAAAAGAGGAAGGGAAGTCAGGAAAGAAATAATAATAAAAGTAAATCATGTCAGAAATGGAGACTATATACCATGAACATAGATGTAAAAATACTCAACAGAATTTTAGCCAGTCAAATCCAGTAATACATAAAAAGATAACATTAATATATACTGACCAAGTAGGATTTATCCCAGGAATGCAAGGTGGGTTTAATATTTGAAAAAATCAATTGATGTAATCCATCATATTAATAGACTAAAAGAAAACCTCACATAATCATCTCAATACATAAAAAAGCACCTGACAAAATGTAATACCAACTCATAAAACTCTGTAAACCAGGAATAGAAGGGAACTTCCTATTCCTAAGCCTACAGCTAATATCCTGCTTAATGGTGAAAGACTGAATGCTTTTCCCTAAAGAATTAGAACATTTTTCTTAGCACTTCAACTCAACATTTACTGGCTCTAGTTAGTACAATCAGGCAAGAAAAAGAAATAAAAGGCATGAAATTGAATAGGAAAAGATAAAACTCTCTATTCATAAATAACATGATTTATCTATATAGAAAATCATAAGGAATTTACAAAAAGGCTACTAGGCGCATGCCTGTAGTCCCAGCTACTCGGGAGGCTGAGGCAGAAGGATCGCTCTAGCCCAGGAGTGTGAGGTTGCTGTGAGCTAGGCTGACGCCATGGCACTCACTCTAGCCTGGACAACAAAGTGAGACTCTGTCTCAAAAAAAAAAAAAAAAAAGGCTACTAGAAGGAAAAAGTTTGAGTTTAAGAAAGTTGCAGGATACAAATTGAATATACAAAAAAATCAATTCTATTTCTATACACTAGCAACAATCAAAACTGAAAATACTATTTACCATAACATCAAAAACATGAAATACTTAAATCTGACAAAAGATGTGCAAGATCTGTACATGGAGAATTGTAAAACACTGTAGAGAGAAATTAAAGACTTAAACTATCCCAAAAAGGATTATAAAACTAATATAGGAGCTAAAACTATAACACTTGTGTTAAAAAACAGAAAAAAAACCTTTGTAGCTGTGGGTTAGGCAGATTTCTTAAAACACAAAAAGTATAAGCCATAAAAAGAAAAAAAACTGATAAATTGGACTTTATTAAAAACTTGTTTTTTGAAAAACACTACTAAGAAAAATAAAGGCAAGCCACAGATTGGGAAAAAAAATTGCAACACATCTATCCAACTAAAGGACTTGTATTCAGATTATAAAGAACTTTTACAACTCAAGATAACGACAAAGCAAAAAAAGTAAAGATTTGAGCAGATACTTTAGCAAAGGATGTAAGAATGGCCAATATGTTTATGGAAAAAATGCTGAACATTAGGGAAATGCAAACAAAAAGAAACACTACTACATCCCACAAGAATGGCTACTGATACATCTACTGACAGACTACTGATGCATCTCAAAAGCAGTATGTTAAGTGAAAGAAACCAGATATAAGATGCCATGTGATTTCATTTATAAAAACTTATAGAAAAGGCACAAGTATAGTGACAAAGAACAAGGGACTAGACATCATAGCAAACACAGTAAGAGACACAGAGAATAAAAATGAGAAAAGGCAAATATTAATAAAACAGAAACAGGATTTGAGATCACCACAAACCATGAAACATTTTTCCAGAAGATCAAGCTTAAATCTAATTAAGTCTATATAGATTTGCCGATTTACAGATGCAATTAGCAAAATCAAGATTTTGGGAAACTTGCTGGGCACGGTGGCTCATGCCTGTAATCCTAGCACCCTGGGAGGCCGAGGTGGGAGGATCATTTGAGCTTAGGAGTTCAAGACCAGCCTGAGCAAAAGCGAGACCCTGTCTCTACTAAAAATAGGAAAATTAGCTGGGTATTGTGGCACGCGCCTATAGTCCCAGCTACACAGGAGCTGAAGCAGGAAGACTGCTTGAGCCCAGGGTTGCTGTGAGCTAGGCTGATGCCACTGCATTCTACTCAAGGCAACAGAGTGAGACTCTATCTCAAAGAAAAGGAAGAAGAAACAAACAAACAAAAAAAAAGGTTTTGGGAAACTCCACAGGTAAAAGACCTAATTTCTTCTACAGATAAATTTCAAAGTGGGGAGGGGGCCCCCCACGGGGCATAGGAGAAGGGGAAGAGAGAGTAGGAAACCATAGGTTAAAAGAAACTTAAAACACTTATCTCCCAATTGCAATATATCTTTTAAAAAACGTTAGAAAGAAAAATGGCACATACAGAAGTAGACAAAGGAGAGCCAATAAATGCATAACTGGAAACTCCAAAGAAGAAAATCAAAACAATGGAACAGAACTCAAGTTTAAACATATAACCCCTGAAAACTTTCCTGAAATTCAATACTTAAAAGTACATATTGAAACAGTACATCTTATTCCAAGAAAAACTAACCAAGATTGGTCAACATTTACAATATCCTAGTAAAATGACTGAACTTTAAAACTTTGGGCAGCCAAACAAAATAATCAAATCATTTATATGGGAAAATCAAGCTTGTAACTGACTTCTCCTTAGGAACATTCAATGACAAAAAGACACTGTAACAAAATAAAAGTTCAAGTCAAGAATTTTCGAGCATAAAGGTCACAGTTCTGACAATGTAACAAAATTCACGGAATATTGTTCACATGAGCCCTTTTTTGAGGAAACCTGCTAGAAGACATCCAAGAAAAGACAATGGAAAGAACTGGTAATGAGTACAATTCCAGGACAAAGAAGGGAACAAAGGTGAAACAATGACTATAGGAATGGTACAATTTATAAAAATGAGAAGGGGCAAGAGATGAAAAGTAGGAGTTCTCAGCCTCATCTGTCATAATGGGGGGATCAATAATGACAAATCAAGTAGTAGAAGTTTACTTACTTAAGAGGTAAGTAGAAGCATACTTAAGAGTATAAAAGTAAACCCCAAGAAAGAAAGTACTACTAATATTAGGTAATGGGGGTAGAGGAAAAAGATATAAGTTACTCATAGTAGGAAATCAACAGACTATAGAAAGCAGGGACTAAGGTGGTTTTTTAAAGTAATAGGCTACTTCATCAAAACAAAGATATAAGCCTTACCAAGTATCAGAACGACTTAAAAAAATAAATAAATAAATAAAAAGCACAGCCTGAGCAACAAGACCCTGTCCCTACTAAAAATAGAAAAATTAGCCAGGTGCAGTGGCATATGCCTATAGTCCCAGCTACTCAGGAGGCTGAAGCAGGAGGCTCGCTTGAGCCCAGGAGTTTGAGGTTGCAGTGAGCTATGACTGTGCCACTGCAGTCTAGCTAGGGTGAGAGAGCAAGACTCTGTCTCAAAAAAAAAAAGCAGCAAAGACAAATGGAGATGAATGTAGAGACTATGTAGACTTCCTTTATAACAACAGATTTAACCTCTATTTAATCTACTTATTTCATCTACTGATCTGCCTACCTATCTACTTATTTTCCCAACAGCCTTCCAGGGGTGGGCAACCTGCAGCCTCAAGGCCACATGTGGCCCTCCAGATCCCCAAGTGCAGCCCCTTGACTCAATCCAAACTTCACAGAACAAATCCCTTTGTTAAAACTCTTGGCCTTTAACAGGGCCAGCTCCCCAAAGTGGCTAGAAATATAACTGGTCTTGAAGAAGGAGGAACAGACTTTCTAGATACTTACATGATTTCTAACATGCCACACTCTCAAATCCAGGGTCCAAAAGTGTTCATGAATAATGAGAAATGAATCACAACCACTGATGCAAATTGTCATTGACAAATTTTATTAAATCTGCTTTAAGGGCCCAACTACTACTTTGTTATAAGCAAGGCTGAATACCTTGTATTTATAAATCAACGGACCTGCTATTAAAGTCCAACAGCCAGTTTCCTGAATCATAAAATTCAATAAAAATCACTGATGCTTCAGAAGTATAAGACAGGGGTCCTCAAACTTTTTAAACAAGGGGCCAGTTTGCCGTCCCTCAGACTGTTGGAGGGCTGGACTATAGTTAAAAAAAAAAAAAAAAAAACTATAACAAAGTCCTATGCACACTGCACATATCTTATTTTGAAGTAAAAAAACAAACGGGCAAAAACACCTGCATGTGGCCCGTGGGCAGTAGTTTGAGGACGTCTGGTATAAGACATTAACATTTAAATGTTTTTCTCATCAAAATGTGAACTTCATCAGAGACTCTGTTTGGTTCACTACTCTAGCCCAAGTACCTAGAAATGTTTGGCACATAGATGCTAAACTGTTATTTGTTGAATGAATAAATAGATTTCAATTAAAAGTTTAATTGTTTTATTTAAAACATTCTAGTTCTAGACCTTTTAAGACTACAGTATAAAAGTTCTGTTTTTTTTCATTTCATATGGAGTTTCCTAACAAAATTCCCTAGTGCCTCCAGGGTTAAAGCTAACAACTGAATATACCTACAAAAGCCAGGGCTCACTCTACATCCACCATCTGCCAACATTTGAGTTTTTATGCACTGTCAAAATGAAACATTCTCTTGTTGCACATAAGTACATTGTTGTCTCAACATCAAGTTGGAACTCAGATTTCTTACCTATTCTTGTTAAACTGTATTGCAAAGTCTGTCATATGCTGCAGAGCTTTGTTGGTGAAGTTCATTTCCATATAGATGTGTCCTTGGCGGTGAGTAAATGTTCCTGAAATCTCTAAGCCTTTAGCCTTTACTGCAGGTAGCCAGACCTGAAACACAATACAAATCTCAATAGAACCAGATAAGATTTATCTCAATGCTATTTATTTTTTAACAAATAAAGATGAAATTAAGATTTCACTTTAGGCAATTATGGTGATTTTTATACTATAAATGTCAAGTTAATGCAAAAAAGGCTCTGGATAGTCTTTCTGAATTCTGAGATCATCCTCAATTATTTAAGAACCAAAAAAAAAAAGTCTACAGGCAACCTTGGCTGCTTCTCCATCTTCTGTTCAATTTGGTCATTTTACTGCTTTTGAAAACTGCTACCAGATGTATGTGTGTGTGTATACACATATATATATGTGTATACACACACACACACAGAGAAAAGAAATCCCAATGAGTATGTGTTTTTCTGTTAGTTTTGGTAAAATATTTAAAAAGAAGAAACTGAATCCATTAATGAAAACAGCATGCCTGTTATCTTTAAAGACTTTTTCATCATTATCATTCAAAGCTATTATCAGTAATCTCCTTAAGGGCATGGACCATGTTTAATGTATATTTTTAACTCCTGCTATAGTTTCTGGTAAATAGTAAATATTCATATGTTGCTTAAATATTCTAAATGCCTATTTTCTCTATCTAATTCATTACCTATTCCTGGTCCTAGAACCTTTGATACTCCTGGCCTATGCCAGTAAAAAAAAAAAAAAAAAATCAGGAGATTCATGAACTATTATGACCATCTAAGACAGAACACCAAAGAGTCTGTGGGTGGTAAATAATCATGATAATATACTCAGCCACACTAAAAGAGTGGGGCAAAGACCAGGGAGTAACCTAAATGATCTCTCCTTTTTCTTTTGAAAGGACATATGAGAAAGTTAACAGTGGCTATATATGGGGAAGTAGGGGCAGGGAGAAACAATTTTCCTGCTTATTTCAATATTATTTAAATGTATATGTATTACTTTTATGTCAGTAAACGAGTACATTAGATAATCTTTTAATTAGTAATTAAAACTCTGTAAGAATAATATTCAACATAGTAAACCTTATTTAACAAAACTATTGAGTTGCGCCAAAACACTATGGCTCAGTTTTGAATCATATTTTTGGTTATTCTACTCAATGGCTGTACACAGTTATGACTCCTAGAATGGACAACTGGTCTACATCTCTGTAGCAGGGATCCCCTATAAGAAGTTGGATGAGTAGGCAGAGAATTCTGGAAGCATCAAGGTATGTTGGTCCACAGAAAGGCAAGGTTATATGAAGACTAGCCCAGCTTGGATGGCACTTTTCCCAAAGGCTTAAATGAACTTCCTTAATAGTGAGTTTCCCTCTGAAATTTCAATCTGAGTGACATCAAGCAAGGCTGAGACAGGAAGAGCCCCCAGTGACATAACCCTAAGTCAGAACTCTAAAAAGGTACGATAAAATCCATTAAAACAAAATTTGAACAATGGCTCTCTAGAGTCCATATGTAATACCAATGGGGAAAGGGGAATGGAAGAAATGAAGTAATAAAAATGTTACTTCTCTCTATTGAATTTTTTCAGATTAACTTCAATGTTAATAAACTAGACAATATTTCTAAACATGAAAACAAAACTCAAATACTTAATATTTCCAATTTTAAGTCTAATTATAAAAATGTCTAACAAGGGTGCTATTGATGCTTCCTATTGCTAAGTTTGAAACCACCTTTCATCTTCCTCTTAAATCCTCCAGAATAAGGGCCCAAACCTTGGATTTGTTACCAGTGGAAGTAATACAAATGTTAGAAGTGAAACTATTTGGGTCCTGTCTATTAAGAATATTGCTGTGCTAACTCTTTACTTACAGCCTTAGGAGCCACATATCCACCAGGAGCCATGCCTATCCCTGTGGACAGTTCAAACAGGTCATTCAGACCACTGCTGACCACAGCAGGAGTAGGTGAAGGAGCAAAGGTTGCAGGCACTGATGATGGGATGAAGGATTGTCCCACCTGTCGGGGGGAAAGGGTGGGCAGAGATCAGGAAGAGCAGATTAATAGTCCCTAAAACGTTGCTATATATTTTAGCACTATTGATAAATCAATAAGAAAACACCATTAATTAGATTCTTAGGAGTTGAATAGTATATTCTTTTTTAGCACAGTTATTTTTTCATTACTGATAAGATACATACACTCTTTAGAAGCTTTATCAAGAGAGAGTACTCAGTAGGATATAGGAACACAGTAATCCAAGATTTTGTGTGTTTGTTTCCAATTTTAGCTTCCACGATTCTGTGCAAAAGGCCTACAGGTACCCTAACAAAGGGGGGGGGAGTTTGTTTCTACAAAAAGAGGGAGAAGCATCCAACTTAAATAGCAGTTCCATTTCCACTCCAGTTCAGCAAAGTCTTATTTCCCCATTTAGGCATAAATATCTAGTAGGAAGCTCTCCTAGGGAGATGGATACTCACCCCCCCAAACTAACTTATTTATGAGGAGAGTCTCACTCTGAGTCCACCTGACTCTCTCAAGTTCTTTCTAGATGACAGCAAGGAATAAGAGCATTCTCTAGTCAGGATGGGAGGTTCCATTTCCTTTAGCTTTTTAATATCAGAAAGACAAAAGATCTCTATAGGCACCAGAGTACTAATCCCTCAAGATGTCCCTAACACATGTGGTACATGACCCCAAAGATTCCAAGTAACCCTATACTACTTTCTACTCCTCATATACTGTAATAGAGGTTTTGGTGTGCAGTTCTAGATAGTAGCAGTGGCTGGTCTGATAATGTGTACATAGGAAAGGCATCAAACGGGGCAGCGCTTCCCATGGTGAAAAAAATGGATGGCACTTACTGCCGGACTTCCTCCAATGCCCCCGCCAAGGTCACTGCCAAGCTGAAAGAGAGAAAGGAGAGAGAGGAGAGAGAGGTAGAGTTCATTTAGCTAAGTACTAGATGCCCATATAGAACCTGTAAATTGTTCTACCAAGTTGCTGGAAATACATGCCATTCAAGTTGTCTCCCAAAGCCTAAAGAAATTCTAGATTGCAAAGAAATGTGTATTAGGGGAACCAAGTGGTGGCAGTGATGGTGTATGGGTTTTGAGAAAACTTGGAAAGAAGATGGAGCTGGGACACCTCTGGGATGTTCCAGATCCACACTTTCCACTTGGTTACACAGGCACAAACCCAAACAAGATTTAAAGAGTTTAGATATTCTAAGAAGCTCTATCCCCAAGCAACAATGTTTTCAATATATTTTATTTTTTCTTTATAAGAAATTTAAGGTGGCGGGGAGGAAAAGCCAAAGAAAAACTAAAATGTACCTTGACCTACAAAGTCTGCTGCCCTACTGAAAGGTGGGAACCAAACGAGTATTGAACTGCAATTTTAAGCTTCAAAATTTACAGGTGAAGCAAAAGTGATTTTTAGAGTTTAGAACATTCATAAGAAAGAAAACAGCTGGGAAAGAAAGATATCCTACCTGGGGAAGAAGTGAGGAGGCATGCAATGCTTCAAATCTGTCTCACAGCATTATCACTAAGGAGAAATACTGTGATTTATTTCGAGTAGATCATTTAAAAGGATGCTAAGCATTAGAGAATCAGACTAATTGAATTAGCTAGCTGACAGGAAAATAATTCCACATGGTCTTAGTCCTTCTTTTTTTCTCAGGGTCCTGAGACCCCCCTTGAATCATCAAATGCCATGCTCTAAAAACACTTTCCTTTATTGTCTTTAGAAACTTAGAGATATAATTCACCCTGAAGTCAGTCATGATTAAAGAAGAGCTGAAGTTGAAAATAGCTAGCATGTAAGATATGTTAAACTGGCCAGGCGCGGTGGCTCACGCCTGTAATCCTAGCCCTCTGGGAGGCCGAGGCAGGCGGACTGCTCAAGGTCAGGAGTTCAAAAGCAGCCTGAGTAACAGCAAGACCCCGTCTCTACTATAAATAGAAATAAATTAATCGGCCAACTAATATATATAGAAAAAATTAGCCAGGCATGGTGGTATCCCAGCTACTCGGGAGGCTGAGGCAGAAGGATCACTTGAGCCCAGGAGTTTGAGGTTGCTGTGAGCTAGGCTGATGCCACGGCAGTCACTCTAGCCTGGGCAACAAAGTGAGACTCAAAAAAAAAAAAAAAAAAAAAAAAAGGATATGTTAAACACATATAAACACAACTAATGGCACTGTTTAAAAAGCAAAAATTACTTTTTTGGAGCTACAGTTCGACATTTTCTTCTTCCCTAGTTCTCACTGTGCATATAAAACACCTCCTTGGATCATCAAATGCCTTGTCTGCTCTAAAAACACTTTCCTTTGTTGTCTATGGAAAGCTGGAGATTGCTGTAGTTGTGTTAAAAGACAAAATTATACTGCATCTTTAGGATTTGAGATGGGATTTATCTTCTCAATGAACAGAGTGGTAGTATATAAAATGGCAATTTCAAAATTTAAAAATAAATCTTAAATATTCAAAAATACCACCAAAGTCTATTTAAACAGGACAGAAAATAACCCTGGCAGGTGCTTCATAACTGGCATTAGCAAGCATGCTCTGCACTAAACTACAAGCCACTCCAACCACAGAGCCAACATTTTCAGAATCAGTTCCCTGAAGACTACTTAATGGCTGGACATGGGATGGAAATCACATACTTAAATAAAAAAGTCATCCTAACCAAGAATTTGAATAACTGGAAAAGTGTAAAAGCAAATAGAAAAGACTACACATCTGCTTTCTCTTTGGTTTTATAATGGCACACATCTGCAGCATGACATCTGAAAAGCATGAAATTCCTTTTATTCAAACAAACACTTATATAACATTTACTGAATGCAAGGCATTACAGGGGATGTAAAGATGCCAATGAGCAGACTATATAGATAAATAAGAATCAGGCTTTGCAAACTGGCAGGAGAAATCAAACATGAATGCAAAACCATGTGGAATATACTAAAGCAAAAAAACAAAGTTCTGAAGGGAAGAACCTCCTTTTGGCTGAAAGATAATAAAGAGAAGCTTCAAGGAGGTTAGTGTAGGATTATAATGGGAAAAATCATAAAAAGCAAAAATGGGGCACGGTCATTTCTCAGATAGCATGAACAAAGGCTGAGAAAGCCTGATCAAGAAGAATGAGTGGTCTAATGAGAGTGGAGACCAGGGTAGATATGTTTAAAAAAAATACTCATGTGAAACAAGTTTGCAAAAGGCAGTCTGATTATAGGAGATCTTTGATTTTCCCTTCATAAGAACCTAGAGGTTTCTTAGACTAATCTTAAACTTTCTAAGACAAACAATAACTATTTCAATTATGTTCCAGTAACTATGGTTTCAACCTTGAATATCCAAGCAATCAATCAATGGGGAGGAGTGCTTTAAAATACACTGATACCTAAGTCTCACCCCAAGATATAGTAATTTAATTGTTCTGAGGTGTAGCCCCGGCATCAGAATTTTGAAAAGCTCCCCCGGTTGATTCTAGTATACAGATAAGGTTAAAAACACTGAGTCATCATGCCTGTAATCCTAGCTCTTGGGAGGCCGAGGCGGGCGGATTGCTCAAGGTCAGGAGTTCAAAACCAGCCTGAGCAAGAGCGAGACCCCGTCTCTACTATAAATAGAAAGAAATTAATTGGCCAACTGATATATATATATAAAAAAAAATTAGCCGGGCATGGTGGCTCATGCCTGTAGTCCCAGCTACTCGGGAGGCTGAGGCAGAAGGATCGCTCGAGCCCAGGAGTTTGAGGTTGCTGTGAGCTAGGCTGACGCCACGGCACTCACTCTAGCCTGGACAACAAAGCGAGACTCTGTCTCAAAAACAAAACAAACAAACAAAAAAAACAAAAAAAAAACCACTGAGTCAGAGAATGAATTATGTTGGAGTCAGACAAAATTCATCTGTGCAGAAATGACTTTGGAGCTTACTTCTGAATAAAACGAATCTGAAGAGAGAGAAAACCACTTTCTAACAAAGGAAGGGAAAGGCTAAATACAAAAGCCATGGAAGGGGCTCTACAAAACACCTCATTTGTCCTGATATGATGTTGTTTTATGACTTTCTGATGGGCTTACCCATTCTCCTAACCATTCTCCCCCTTCTGGCTAGATTTACAATCCAAGCTGAAAAGAGAACTCTTAATGGACCTGGTTGGCACTCAATGACAGACAAGTAAAAACACATATGAAAGGAAAGAGCAGTTTTACCAAATATGCTAAATTCAATAAATGCCACTGAGAAAAGATACTCACTGGTGGTGCTTAGACCAAAGGAAATAAAACTTATGTATACCCCTTATTTTCTTAGATTTCATTCTTTTCATCTTTGACTATTGTGTGAATATTGTCTTAGCCAATGATATAAAGGTTCACCTAATTGTGTTATGTCCAGAGAGCAAAGGGAAAGAACAATTTCAATACTGTGCATTTTCTAACTACCAAGACTATTTAGACTTTATTCAGCATCTTTCCTCTTGACTGCAAAAGATTCTAAAGGAGGTGATCCTCTTCTTGAAAACAGGGCAAGGTGACAGCACGATGATGGGTATGAGTGACTAATAGGGAGATGTCAGCAAGGATGGAAGCCAATTATCCAGTGAGTGGCTTCTCCTATCTACAAGTGACAATCAGGATAAAGCAGATATTAATCAGGAGGGAAGGAGGGGAAGGAAGGAAGGAAAGGAAAGAGGGAAGGAGGGAAAGCTGAACGAATACTCAGGAAAGTTGCCGCATATCAGCTGGTACTAGACATTAACCATTTCAGTTCTGTTGCTAGCATTTTTTGGAGTTAGGTTCATATGTTTGGAAATACTCCAAGCCCATACATATGAGATAGACTACAAAATCAATCAAACTAGGACTTGTAAAATTCAGAGTGATATCTGTTATCCAGTAGCTGGTGGGAGCCAGGAGTGAAAAGGAATAGGTGTTACAGGGCATGGATTTGATCCTAATCTTAGGTATCCAGACACTGTGTTTTAAGTGTCTCTGGGAGGTGTCTACTTCCCATTGTTCCCAGGATTGCCTTACTGAGGCTGCCATTTTCTCCATGAAGAAAATAATGTCAACTATATGCCAACTGTAAATCAGGATACAGGAGTAAAGAGGAAAAACTCCAATTACTGGAAAAGACTTACTTCAAATGCTGAAAACTGAGCAGGAATTTTCTTAAAGGGCTGTAGCTGATACCCAAGTCCAAATATTCTGCTAGTGGTAGAGTTTCCCACAGTTTCCAATCATAGTAGTCCTTAACAACAGTAGCTATAGTATTAAAAGGCACTGAAAATGATACTAATATTTGGCTATTGCCAAAGAATGGTCACTTTACTATGTCTGAAGTAATGCTGAATGGGACTCAGTTTATGTTGAATGACACAATAATGTGTTGTTGCACTATTAATTCAGTAACAGGATGGAAAGAAGTGATTTTGTGGTGACTTACTGTAACTTATACGCTAAAGGGATTTAAGCATGGTTACATGAGCTCTGCAGCAGAGCAGGTAGAGCCCAAAGTTCTAGAGCTGAGCCTATACATAGACTCTACTTCAGCTACAGATACAAAAGAAAACATTCTCATCCAATGGCAATATGCTACAATAGCAGAAATACAGAAAGAAAACTTAAGACAGAGGTTCTATAACGGAACAAGTCTGCCTGACTCAAAGAAAGAAAAGAAAAACAATTTTTTATAAAGAAATATTAACTGAGATAACCACTGAGAACAAAAAAAATCCCACAAATTATCACAATGACTGATATGGGTTAGCACCTTTATGGTATGTCTGATCGGTCCAAAGTACATCTATTTGCTTCTAAAATTGTGGAGCTGTCTGGATATCTCGAGACATTCTCTTAATTGGAGGTACAGATCATAAGCTCTATGCTCTTGTCT